TTTTATGTATCTAACATGTTGTATTAAGCCTTAAGAGAACAGAAGAGCCAGGATCCTTAGATCAAATAAATAGTTTTGTGTACAAATGTATACACATTTTATGAAAACTATCAAAGACAGCTTATCTCCACTCATTATCCCACGGAATTTTGTTGATCACCATCCTACTACCCTAGTAGGCCATCTAAGTAAGATTTTGCTTCTTCAGTTTGGACATAAACACTGGCTTACGGTTCCTATATTAATTTTTATTCAATTGCTTTACACAGCTGTGGCACACTAGCTTGCTTTTACTTTGGGAATAACAAGGTTGACATCTCTAGCTTCCAAATATTTTGAGAAGTAGACTGTGGTGGATCTCTGAGTTGACTGGTTTTTAATGAACTCGTTGCTAAAAACGGAAATCCTTAGGATATTGCTTCTATTCTAAAAATGCCAGGAGACATTTCACTCACAGTTATCGTGTGAGATTTAACCTACCACTGAGTTACAGAATGGGAAGATTAAAGGATTCCTGCAAAGGAACGAAGCACAGGTATATTACAAAATGGGAAGATCTCTGGGGCATGATTGTGAGTGAAAACTTATGATATTCAGTAGCAGATATAGTAGGTCTCCAACTAGTTTTGAAAAATGAGAGAAAAGGAGACATACCTACATGTAAACAGAGGTTAAGGTTAATTGTATTTAGGTATAATTGGGGGACTTCTAGTTACTTTAGCTTTTCCATATTACTAGTTTTCTGTGTAAGACTATACTATGTTTATAATACTAAAAATAAGTGCTCTGTACATTTTGAAACAAGAACATGTCTCACCTATGATTTAAAAGAAGAAATTTCAAAGAACCTTGAGTTTTACTTATCTGATTAAGAAAATCAGAGGGAAAAAAAGGGTGGTCTGCTCGTACGTCAGACCTCCTGATTTCCGGTTTGTTCCTGTATTCCTGTGTCTCCTCTCCTTTTTCTAAGTATCTGAATCAAGTATATGACCAGCCTTTGAGAGCTGAGTGAGCAGCAGTTATACTGTGGTCTAAATGGCCTATGTCAGGCCAGCCTTACCCAATGTGGCCTAAGCTAATTTTGCCTACATGGTATGTATTTCTTGATTCAGTTAGATATTGAAGTAACTGAGTGAAAATATTTGAAATCATATGCCAACTGCCTAAACAGATAACAAACCAGCTAGATACCAAGACACAGCCTGAGTTTGTTTTCAGCTGAGGGAAATTCTCAGGCAACTAGAGAGCAGGGATGATGTTGGGTTGCCAGGAAAGCAGAGAATTCCATGGTATGCAACTAGCTCAGAAGGAAAAGAGATGTCCATTCAGGAGGCAGCATATTTCACAGTGTGCACTGTCTTTTGAGGAAGTTCCAGGGCTCAAATTGTATATATGCGGATTCTCATATAAATGAATCTAATGGTGCTTACATCATTCATTCAGGTTCCAAGCTCTGTACATATGTGTCACAGCCACGGTCACTGCCTCAAAATCCGTTGCTTGTTTTCTTCGTAATGAAAGTGCCATCTGCACACTGAAATTTTTCTCTGCAACTCTCTATAGTCAAGTGATGGTCCTTTCCAAAGTCTGAGTACTGGGGCTGAAGAGATGGCTCAGCAGTTGAGAGCACTGGCTGCTCTTGCAGAGGACCCAAGGTCAGGCTCAGCATCCACATGCTGGCTAACAACCACCTGTAATTCCAGTTCTAGGGAGTCCAACACTGTCTTCTTGCATGATATGTGTGCACTTACATACATTCAGATAAAGTACTCATACACATAAAATAAATAAAAATTTTAAAAACTGAGTGCTTAGCAAGCTATAAGACTGATTTCTACAATTCTCTCTGTTTCTCTGTCTCTGCCTCTCTCTCTGTCTCTGTCTCTCTCTGTCTCTCTGTCTCTCTGTCTCTTTCTCTCTCTCTGTCTCTGTGTCTCTGTCTCTGTCTCTCTCTCTCTCTCTCTCTCTGTCTCTCTCTCTCTCTCTCTCTCTCTCTCTCTCTCTCTCTCTCTCTCTCTCTCTCTCTCTCTCATTGTCTCTGCCCTTGGTCAACTCTTCTAAGTTACAAAACCTCCTTACTCCGTCTATCAACCCTTTCGCCAGGAGGTTCTCTGCTGGATCTGCTGAGGATGCAGTCGGATCCCAGCTGTCCTCCGGATGCTCCACCTCTGCTTGTGGGCACTTTCTGAACTAGAATCACTTGTACATTCCACCAGCCATCTCTGGCTTCACTATCCTCTAATGATACTGACCTACTGTGATGCCAGACTTCAAGTCTCATTGTTGTAAGTATTGTCAGGCAAAAAACCAAACAACAAATGGATGATTCACACCACAGGTGACAATGGACTCCATTACTTTGCTGTCCCCTTTCTCCTGCTGAAGCAGTGGGACATTCTGTCACCAGTGAGAAAGGCTGACCTGCTCAAACAGCACCAGGCTAGGTTTTAAAAGAACAAGTCCTCCAAGAGCACAGTTAAGCTTTTCTGGGTTTCAATTTCCACACCTGTCAATGACAGTGATTCCCATCCTAATTCCTTCAGTTAACTTTTAGGGAATAATGTAAGGAAACAGATAGAAAGAAATATTTAAAAAATTAAAGGTAACTAAAAAGCTCTAGGACACATCAGGTTTACAACTGTCACCATCTCAAAGCCAGGGCTGACCAACTGGGGAGTCAGCCCGTAGCCAATCAAGTTGGCATCCACGCATGGAGTCATGTAAATCGCAGATTTTAAAATACATCGGATTCAGTGCTGAAGATGAATCTGGAAGAGACTTCTCAACAGCCAGCCAGGGTGTTCACTTGACCTTACCCCTGTCCTCCGGCTGTGGCTCTCAACTCCCAAAGCCCTTACTTGCTGGTGTACGTTTCAGTGGAACACCTCAGATCCCAAACTCCTCTCTAGTACGTATAGAGGTTTATAAAGTGCCATAGGCAAGCACACACCCTGCCTTTGTGCTTATACGTTTAAATCGCAGTTTCTCTAAATGAAGCACTCTATTTTTTCCTCCTTTTTCCAAAGCCCCAGGCACTTCAACAAGCACAGAAAGAACGCCTGTGCTGTGGGCACAAGTGAAGACCGCAGTGCCTGCGATCTCGCGCAGCGGGAGGATGCTTGCACTCACTCATCCTGTTACCTTGGAGTCTGTCTTTCTCAGGGATGCTCCTGCGTCCACCAGAAGCTGGCACACAGCCCGGTTCCGCTGGCAGGCAGCCTTGTGCAGTGCGGTCTCACCCCTAAATCAAAGACGAAATAAGAAACCGGGTAAGGGTTGGGGACAGGCAAGGGGGTGGAGGCAGCAGGGTGAAGAGGCCGATCCTGCCCTGCTGGTGGTCGTGGGTGCTGCTCAGCCCCCTTCCCCCTGGGCAGCTGGACCCAGGCCACACAGTACAAGAACCCCGGGGAGGTGGGCTAAGGAGGGTTTAAAAATTTCTCAAGTTTTTCCTCAACAGACCTAACATCTGACTAGTCTCCTTCCTAAACTGGTTAATATGGCTTAGTGATATTTTTAACCCCTACTATTTGATTTAGGATATAGTCAGTGGCACAAATAAATAGACGAATCATGCAGTTGTATCTAACCACTGCACATCTAACCACCAACACATCTCCTAGTGCTGAGATCTCAACCTTAGAGAGCCAGACCAACTTCCTCCCCTTCCCCAACTCTGTCCAGCCCATGCTGGATTCCTTGCACCAACTGAAAGGATGACCCCAGAAGAGTTCACAGGTCCAAATTCTCCCCAGTAGGCAACAAGCTTGAGACCTGTTTCTTCATGTAAGAGGGAACAAAGGAAACTCCCCATCTCTCTCACAAGCAGTCTGAGTAGGAGGATATTGCTGTTCTGAGTCCCAGTGTACAAAGATACTGAATAACAACAGCACATTTAAGGGCAGGTCCATGTTGCCTACAGAGAAGGCAAACCAGGATGAATGGTGGCACCATTACAACACGACAGCATGTCATGCTGGGTATGGTTCAGCTCTGTAGATCAGTGGCTAGTTTTTCTATGCCCAGCGACTCATTGTTGCACTCCATCCCATCTACCCGTTCTCGCTTCTACTCTCAGCTCATTCCTCTCCACTCCCACTTGTTTTTATCCCTTTTCTAATTTCTTTGAAATTCTCTAGTGGGTCCCACATGGCTTTTCAAAGTTAATTGTTCAGCTTTTTCTTATTTGTGTTAGTGCAGCAATATCTATTTGGATGCCAGAGGAATAAGAAAATTAAAAACAAACATTATCGGTTTAGGGACCATCCCAGAGGTGACTGCTGCCTGGGTTACTATGCACTCAGCTCTCCAGGGGCAGTACATGACTTTTTCCATTATAGACTAACAAAAGAGGTTGTGTCATTACATGCAGAAGATGTCCTAAGGCATCAGGGCTTCATTTCCTCACAAACCCCAAGTGAGAATCTATGCATGGGATGGATATAGCTCTAGATACATATATTTATTTAGACTTGTTAGCAGTCCAAGTACCCCTGTAAAAGTGACTTGCTGCTAGGAAACTGCAGATGATGGACAGCACTGACTCTGTACGGTCTTTAGGATGCCTGTTATTAGCTTTTGTGTGTCATTTCATTCAGCAGATTAGCTCCGTACAACCATCAGTACACTTTAAAGTGGACTTTTAATCGGTTAAATTAAAAATGTCTGACATGCCCTGTTGACTTTCTTCTTCTAGATGTTTTGAATATAATTGTCCATACAATTGTCTCTATAATGAAAGGCAACACTCACGTTTCACTGTCTGCCATATCCAATAATTCTGCAGGTCCTAAACAAGAAAAAAGAAAAAAGAGGATGCTCATCAAAATAAGTTCCAAAAGCTAACCATTAGCAGAAAATCTGCAGGCAAAGAATTAAAATGATTAGGAAAGGTGAACCGAAAAAAAATTTGGTGACAGAGTTAAAAAAGACAAAATGACTGTGAGAAAACCTCTATTTCTCAGCCACCAGTTTTCCACAGTCAATAGGCACAGAGGTGCAGACCCAAAAGATGCTACTGCTTCTGCTGGTCAAGAATCTCTCTACCCACGAGGCCTGAGGAGATGGTTCAGTGGTGTGAAAACAATACGACCGAAGTTCAAATCTCTAGCACCCATGTTAAAAAAAACCAAAAAACAAAAACCTGGGTATGGCCATGTGTGCCTGTAATCCCACCATAGGCAGGAGGAGAAAAGTAGCTCCCGGGGTCTCTGTGGCCAGCCAGCCTAATCAAGGTCAACGAGAAACCCTATCTCAAGGGGATAAGAGAACTGTGGAGAAAGACACCAGATAGCTTTCTTTGGTCTCACATGGGCACATGCACCTTCACACACACATATGCATATCACACACACACACACACACAGAGAGAGAGAGAGAGAGAGAGAGAGAGAGAGAGAGAGAGAGA